TGAAAATAGATATAACAGTGACTTTGGATATCCTACTTATTTAGTGTAATTTAATACTCGAAGTATTCTTGCCAAAAAGGTCAAAAAAGGTCACGTACGCACAATCTGGTGTCGTTTGAAACATACTTTAGCTAAAATAACAACTTGAACAAGAACACCAACAATGGGGTCACGAAAACAGTCGAAATTGTGCCCAAATTTGCATAAACAGTTCGTCTAAAAAGATAACTTTAAACTAGATTCAACCAACATTAATGCGGTCGAATTTTGTGAGTGTTTCATCGCATATTTCTACTCAAAAATACCCTTTAAAAAATCGTATCTGCTCACTTGTGTTCCGTGTTCATCTTTCTTGTGATTTCCGACTTCTATTTTTAATAAAGTTTGGAGAAATCCTCATCTTTTTGGCTGAAAATCTCGCGCAAGGTTCACAGAAAAACTTGGCCCAAAACGTCGATACATTCGCTTTCCTTTCATGCCAAATTTTCATTGTATATCATCCGAAAACCTCTTCTTTTTTTGCTTTTAAAACTTGCTGTAAAATCCTTCTTGGCAACAATATCTCCATTATTCATTATTTTTGAAAAACTAAGGTTTTAAACTTGAAAAACTTTGCAAGTTTCTGACCAATTTTCTTGCATGATACACCGTTGAAAAGCTCGAATTTCACGTTCTATTTTCGTATCCGTTGCTAGGCAACCCGATAAACACGTGCTCAAATATCATGCCCGCAAGTTGAGGTGTCATTTGAGGGCGCATGCGGGCGCATTGTCCGTTACCCACTTGTCAATCTCAGGGCGCATTGGGCGTTAATGAGTTAATATTTATATTTCCTGTTATCTATTTCCTCGCAGATTTAATTATCATATAATTAGTTTTCTTAACATCTATAGATAGTTTATTTATATCACACCACTCTTTTATTTTAGTAAGCTCTTCATTAATTAGTGTTTCAAGGTCAGTAATTGAGGAGGAGGAGGCAAAAATGTTAGTATCATCAGCGAATATTCTAAAAGATAATTTGCTCAAACAGTTTGGCATATCATTTATGTAAATTAAGAACAGCAGTGGGCCCAAGGAACTCCCCTGTGGAATTCCACATGTAATTGTTTGTTTAGGTGATTCCAGGTTATTCAATGATACATATTGTTGTCTATTTGTCAAGTAGTTAGTAAACCATTCTAAGGGAGTTCCTCTTATACCGTATGCTTCTAATTTTTTTAACAATATTTGATGATTAACTGTATCAAACGCTTTGGAAAAGTCTAAGAATACTCCGCACGTGTAAAGATTTTTATCAATCGCTTTCTTAAAATTATCAGTTATCTCCACTATAGCATGTTCTGTTGATCTGCCTTTTCGAAAACCAAATTGAAATTTACTTAAAATGTTATGTTTTTCCAGGTAACCCAAAATTTGTGAGTACACTAACTTTTCGAAGATTTGTGCAAAAGAGTATAACGTAGAAATAGGTCTAAAATTTGATGGGTCAGTGATATCACCACCTTTATCTACCGGCGTTATTCTAGATATCTTTAAAATGTCAGGCATAATTCCCTGTTCAAGAGAGTTGTTGAACACCGCTGTAAGTACATCACTAATGTGATCAGCAGCAAGTTTAATACATTTTTGTGGGATATCAATTGATGATTTGTTGGTTTTTAGTCCATACAACATGTGCCGCACTTCGTGAACACATATTGCACGGAACATAAAACTGTCCTTAAATGACCTTCTAATAAACTGAACCGGATTTTTATCATTGCAATCAGGTATTTGAGCAGCAAAATCTGGACCGACATTTATGAAGTGCGAATTAAGTTTATCACATATATCTTGTTTAGCATCTATTTTTATAGAAGAGTTTATTTGTAAAGATTGTTGGTTTCTTTTTCATATTAATTAACATACCAATTAAGCCCCAAGTGGCTTTAATATTTTGTTTATAAAGGTTAAATTGAGCAATAAAGTATTTTTTCTTTGCTAGTTCTTTTAATTTATTGAGTTTATTGTTATATCTTTTGTATTGGTTTACTTTCTCTGAATCTCTACTGAGAAAGTGAGATTTGAACATTTTTTGTCGTCTTTTTATTGATAATAATAAACCCTTTGATAGCCAAGGCTTCTTTAATAACCTTTGTTGGGCATTAGAAGTTTTCCTAATTGGGGCATGTTTATTAGTGACCTCTTTTAAAGCATTTGTAATACCATTCATACTTTGATTAACGTCTGTGCTAACAAAATTATTAAAATTTATTTTATTGAGATCATCAATAAATAGTTCATTGTTAAATTTAGAAAAGTCTCTATAGTATTTCCTTTCTTGTATAAATGGAAATTTGTTTTCAATTGTACAAAAAACAGGCAAATGATCTGATATACCCACAAGGCAGACACCAGATTTAACCACTTTTTGAGGACAATTTGTATAGATATGGTCAATGAGTGTGGCAGTATGGTCGGTAATAACATGTCCAGAAAAATTTAAATAAAAGGTTAATTATTTTATTAGCGTGAAGATAAAGAAATAATTGCCGCAGTGGTTACGTGTATGATAGAATATAGTGCAACGGCGGGGGAGGTGGTGAAAATGTATATCGACGATCTACATAAGATTCTACCTGACGTTGATTTTGTAAAATTTGTCAAACAGCGCGAGGACGATATAAATACCATGTACAAAGAGTTAAAATCTGGTTTGGTTTGATGCCGCTCAACATTGATGCCGCTCTAATCAAAAAGGCCGCAAGATTATTAAAAGATGAACAATTGACTGCTGAACAACACAGTGCTTATAAATTACACGCTCAAAGACGTATACATTTTAAACGTTTAAAAATACACATAGATAACCGTAATGAACAATGGAGTATAGATCTAGCAGATTTAAAACAATTATTAGGGTATAATGATCAATATCGTTATCTTCTTGTGTGTATTGATATTGCTACACGCTATGCGTTCGTAAAACCCCTAAAAAATAAAACTGCTAATAATGTGCGCAAAAAATTCGAAGAAATTTTAAGCGAGGCGGGTGGTGCGCCAAAAAAAATTCAAGCTGACGAGGGTACAGAGTTTAACCAAATAAAAAAAGATCTTTCTAAAAAATACGGCTTCACTCTGTTTCACACACAAAACCGCGAGACAAAGGCCGTGCACGCCGAACGTTTTATCCGAACATTTAAACAAATGATTACACGTTCGTTAACCACTTTGAACATGGGGTACCGTTATATAAAATACTTGCCCACAATTGTAGAACGATATAACGAGGCGCCGTATCGGGGTATTTTTGGTGCGACCCCTGTAGATTTGTATGTACATCAGAAAATCCCAAAGAATTTTCAATTTCAGCTTGTAAAAAGAGATTTAAATACACACGCACAACCCACACCCGATTTATTACGCAAGGGGACTTGTGTGCACATAGCGCATATCAAGAATAATATGTTTGAAAAATCTAGTTTACAACGTTGGGTAAAAGAAATATTTGTTATTCATAAAGTGTACATTACCGATCCTGTAACATATAAACTACAAGACAGTAAAGGTGAAGATATTATGGGTATATTTTACCGCCAGGAATTGCAAACATTAAAATGAATTTGAAAATCTTCAGTAATGCACCGAATGCTGTTGGGGGTACCAACTACAATAATGAGTTTGTAATGAAATTGCCCGAACAAATAGACAGTGAAAACCAGCAAAAAACGTTGCGTGTGCTTAATGTTACGTATCCCTTAACTATTGAAAACGTTTCGAAAGAATCGTGTGGTATTCGAATAAAGAACACTTGGACTCTGTTTCGATCAAAATCACGTGGGAGTATAAGTTCGCCCGACGAAAGGGTGGCATTTGATACCGGATAGTTATATTTACCCCCGGGATATTACACGCTTGATAAAATGTTGGAAGTTCTTAACGCGTATGTAAATGAATACGGTGTATATTTTCTAGAATTACCCTCAAAAAGAGTGGGTGTCACAATAAATGTGGGTGGTGAGGATTTTATCTACCGATACAACGATGCCGACAAAGTTATCCGAGTAGGTTTCGAGCCCGCTAATAATAAAGCAATTGAACTAGAATTCACTAAAAATCTACAATATATGTTGGGTCTTGACAAGTGGATTCTTCACCCCACTGTAATTTCGGAGACAGAATTCCGCGCGTGGGGAAAGCTCACCCCCATACAGCAGATAATAAATACTGCATTTTTAGAAATGAATGGTTTCAATAAACCCTACAACCCTGCTTTGGGCACATTTTATGGGGCGTATTTACCCGACATGACAAATGGTCTAACACGCATGTTTATTTACTGTGACGAAGTTGTTGCGTCTATGGTGGGGGATGTGTATGGAAAGTTATTAGCCGTGCTCAAAATCGAAACAAACGGTATGGGTAGCGCTAATTTACACACGTACACATGTCCCGAAACAAGTGTGAAATTTATTCGTTCTCAAATCGACAAATTGCATATAAAAGTGTGTGACAGTGACTATAAACTAATACAGTTTAGTGCGGGTACGGTCAGCCTAGAGTGCATCGTAGAATAATTTGAAAAAATGCTACAAATACGTTGGGGTATAACAAACAACGAAGTGGTACCCGTGTCGTACCATCTGGTCAACGTGGACCGTTCATTTGCAAATTTGACGACGAATGCAAAATACTGCAGTAAGGCTACAATACAAACTGACATTGCCTATAATTTTCCTGCATCGTTGTGGTATTCACATAAAGTAAATTTCAGCGGTATGACAGATGGACAAACAAAAAAAGTCGCAACTGTTTACGGTGAAAACACTCTTACAGCTGTATCCGGAATGGCGAATGTGGCCATGGGTAATAATGCATTACAAACTATATGTTGGCCCCGATATAAACTGTTCGATTTTTCTGGTAGTACGACGGTCGATAATAACACTTATATAACTCGTCGAAAACTTGAACGATTTATGTTGGTCAAAAATTTAGATCAACTAAAAGAAACAGTTCATTTTGAAATAGTGGGGTGACGGAAGCGTTGATTTTACGCATAATTATAATGGAAAAATGCTTATTGTAAGTTTAAATATTTATGATAAACCCTCGTAATATTCATTTCTCACGAGACACTCACGATGAATACGACAGCACAGTATATAAAACTTTTAAGGGGAGAGGGTACTCGATATAAAAACACCGATCTTATGATACTACCCAATATTGGTAAAACAATCAAAGAGCGTGCAACAGAAAAAGTGTGCCCACCGCCACATTTGAATCCGAATTATTTACCCGACCCCAAATTTCAGCGACCAGGAAAAGTACGCCAAAGACAGCCACAAAGACAACAACGACCCGCTGTTGACCCACAAGTATTAAGACAAATTTATAGACGTTGAAATGGGGCGTCGTCGTCAGAAAGGGGGGGCCTTTGGTCCCGCATTAGCATTGGGATGTTAGCACCCGCAGTACTTGGGGCAGCTACTAAAATATTACCCGCTATATTTGGGAAAACAAAGGCTGCACCCGTAACAAATAATTATGGACAGCGACCAATTCCA